CGTTGTTTTTAATTATTTATTATAATTTAAAAAGACTCATAAACGTTTTTCCCATCCTAATATACACAAATGTAGAAAAAAATCAAATTTAATATTGTTTGTTTTGAAGTGAAGCACAAAATTACGCAATGGTCTATCTGTGCTCTTCCCACAACGGGTATCGAAACCCGGTTTCTAACGTTGAAAGTCCGCAGACATACCGCTGTGCCACTGCGGGAGCTTTTAAGAGTGTTACGTAGTACTAAAGAGATTTACAAATACACACGTTGTGACATAATGCTATATATACGAGCCATAGCTCTATTCGACATGTTTAACATCTATATATTTAGTTCACGAATGTTTCCCAACTAATTTACACTGTAGCCACCAGGAGTAGACTTATCAGTAATGGTGTGCATGTCACAGCCCTTTCCGAGGAATGGGGTTTCCAAAACGAAATAGAAGAGAGATGCAAATATCGGGGCCCACCAATTTCAAAACGACTATCTACAACAAAGTAAGTAGGATCGTATAAGGCATCTCGCTTCGTGTAAGAATGCCACTAAAATTGGCAAAGTTCACAGATTTGAGGTCCAGAATCCCTAACTTCACCCCATCAAGAAATTGATAGCTAACAAGTTGCACATATTCCAATATATTATCACCAAATAACTTACAAATACATTGATCTATTAAGCTAACATAAAACATGAGAGTACAGACTAGTGAGAATACAAACTGTAGAAAACTGTACGACAAAATACCTTGTATCTAAATGATGGAAATCTTCTGAGCGACTACTATATGACAAGCATTTTGCTACCGGTCAAGAGTTAGAAAATGCCCAACGTGGCACAGAGAACGTTTTAAAGTTTATCGTCAGGTTTTATCCTTATTGCAGGTTTCTCATGCCCAACGTGGCACAGAGAACGTTTTAAAGTTTATCGTCAGGTTTTATCATTATTGTAGGTTTCTCATGCCCAACGTGGCACAGAGAACATCACAAAGTTTATCGTCAGGTTTTATCGTTATTGTAGGTTTCTCATGCCCAACGTTACACAGAGAACATTACAAAGTTTATCGTCAGGTTTTATCGTTATTGTAGGTTTCTCATGCCCAACGTGGCACAGAGAACGTTTTCAAGTTTATCGTCAGGTTTTATCATTATTGCAGGTTTCTCATGCCCAACGTGACACAGAGAACATCACAAATTTATCGTCAGGTTTTATCGTTATTGCAGGTTTCTCATGCCCAACGTGACACAGAGAACATTACAAAGTTTATCGTCAGGTTTTATCGTTATTGCAGGTTTCTCATGCCCAACGTGACACAGAGAACATTACAGAGTTTATCGTCAGGTTTTATCGTTATTGCAAGTTTATTATATGATGTGAAATTTAAACTTTACAAAGTGTTCAGTGAAGCAAAAATGAACTCTACTTACTATGAGAAGAGCGTCCTATACCAATTACACAAGATGTAATTCATGAAAAGAAAGCATGGTTAGCGTCAAAACACATAACTAAGTCCACAGCAACGTTGAAACGATCACTGAATAGTGAAATAGGCATTCATGGTCTTCTCTTTTCCGACACACCTGCAAAGACACTACACTGTGCATCCATTCACTTCTTCGCGTTTGGTTTGCTCAAACGTGTTCTTTCCAAGCCGCGTGCTGCAATAAGAACTATTTCTTTCTTCATCGACCGTGCTCATTCCTATAGCCGTGATTACACACTGTTAACCGACACCGCAGTTTCGATTCTGGCAGCTTTATGTGAAGATCTGTGAAGCCAACCTTAGACCACGCATTTTGACAAGCTTTCCATGAACTCTCTGCTGTATGTGGATATCGGTTTTCGAATTTTTATAATAAAGTGGGATTATTAAGCTACTTTAATTTTAAAAGAGTAATTATGCATAGAAGCATTTAATAATGCCGTAATTGAATCTTATTTTAAATTATGATGAATATAAACAAAATATATGTTTCATATTCATAGAAGTGTGCAATGATAGATACTATAGGTTACTAACCATCTCCCAACGTAAAAAAACTAGTGACCTTACTAACTATTTCACTGCTTTCATGAAATGGCGAAACGGCGTGCGTGTGTACCATTCACATCTATTGAATGCTGGTATATATATATATATATATGTGTGTGTGTGTATTAGGAATTCATCTATACTGGCGAGCGTCTTTATATTAGTGTTTGTAGTTTAAACACAAAGCTACACAATGGGCTAACTGTGATCTACCCACCACGGGTATCGCAACCCGGTTTCTAGCGTTGTAAGTCCGCAGACATACGGTTGTGCCACTGGGAAGCTTATATTAGTGAAACTATTTTAATATATTATCCAACATGTATTTCTAGGTTTTGTGGAGATCTGATCCATACCATAGAACTTCTGGAAGTTTCATGATCATCAGAGGTAAGGAAGTAGGCAGTAACAAGATGAAAAATTGAAATATCTACCAAACCTGCAAAATTGTGAAAATTATAAATTTGCCGAAGGACATTTTAAAGTTTCTTGGTGGTCAGAGGTTGGGTAGTTGGAACACTTTCGTAAAGACATAGAGATACAAGCCATTTTATAGTACAGATTAAATTTTACCAATAATAACGGACAAGCTATGGATATTTTACGGAATTTTATCAATATTCTGTATTCTTAGATATGTAACCTTTTGGTGACTTGTGCTTAGAATAACATGTTTATATCAGTCTAGTAGTGCCCCCTAGTGGCTCAGTGATAAGTCTGAAGGCTCACACCGCTAAACATCAGGATTCGATACTAGTGGTGACACCGCACAGATAGTCCATTGTGTCGCTTTACGTTTAACAACAAACAAGCAAACAACCTGGTACTTGATACCTGCAGGCAATACCAGTTCGTATGTTGAAACAGTAATATTGTTTTTTTACAGGAACTTTCCAAAAAGTTTTGCTCGCACTTTACGGTATAAAAAATGTCCGTTTTTTGAATGTTAAAATGTTATATTTCTAAAAGTCCGTTTTTGTAAAACAGATAAGGAGATTATGCTTTTTTCCTAAAGAATTATAATATGATAGGTAGAAAAACAATTTATGAGTTACAGTTGTGAAAAACGTGACATAAGAATAGAATGTAGTGGTATAAAATAATCTTTTATCACCCTTCTCTAAAAATCAGTACAGGAACTTTTCACACCAGCTGCATGACAAATCATCGGAAGTATTTTCTCCTCGGTTAAATCAGTTTTTGCATTTTAACTGCTAAGTATTTAAAATACAAAAAGTGTATTTGGAGAACCTTATCAGAGATTGTTAAAATAACTTCCAAACTAACTCATATCAGAAAAGTGCAGTCACAATATGACCATTTTAAAGGTGACTGTAAACGAATGTTTTTAAATATAACTAACACATATCTTGTATAAATTCATAAGGTCACCAATTAAACGTTGTAACAGCCTATTTATTATTGTTTTATACTGGTGTTTCATCCGTTAGTCTAGCTACACCTAGGCAAGTATATTGTTTTGCGTGTTTGCATTATTATTACATCGAATTGTTATTTTCCTAACTAGTTTAAGCTAACTCTCCCGGTGATGAGTTAATGAAAGAGCTTGAGTTTTGGTGGTTGGAGTTGCTGTCTTAATGCCAAATATGTATTATTCTTTAAGATGTTGACCTTTTTCTAAATGTCGAGCTATGCAACATCATAATATATTTATAAATAACGTATGTTTTGAGTACACTGGAATAGGCGGCAACTGACTATTGTAGAAAAAACACAAGTGTAGAAGACGACGTTTCGAAAAATTTCCGTTTTTCGTCTTCTACACTTGTGTCTTTGCCACCCATTCCAGTGTACTCATCATGAATGCTCTGCTTAAACAATCTATCAAAAACGTGTATTTGTTTTTGTATTTATTAAACACACAGCTACACAATGGGCTATCTAAGTTTGCCCAACGTGGATTTATATATTTTTTTTATTCCTGTAAACTCCCGGTGGAGTATAGGGCCGCAACAACACCTCGCCAACGGAATGTGTTGTTGCAGTTACTTGTAGCAGGTTCGTTTTTTACGGGGCGGAGTTGCTAGCCCCGCGCCCAACCCTCCTCCTTTCTCGTCCTGGACTTGGGACCAGGCAAAGGCGGAGGTTGGCATGTCTGGTGTGACGGGGATTTGAACCCGCGACCCTCAGATTACGGGTCGAGCACCCTAACCACCTGGCCATGCCGGGCCTATGTGGATATTGAGCCCCGAATTTTAGTGTTCTAGATCCACAAACTTATCACTGAGCCACCGAAGAGCTAATACATAAGCATGGGTTACAATAAATATTTTTATATGCTAAGATTTAACTCAATAAGTACTAGACTTTATTTACTATTTCAAAAAAAATTCCCTCTATGAGAAATTAAATAAAAAATTTTAATAGCAGCTGTTACGAAAAAATTACAATCATGCAATTTACTAAACAATTCATATATTTCTGTTCACAGACTGCCAGTTATAACAAACATTAACACAATTATTACAACTTACATATTTTTTCCTCCTTTGGACCTTTAATACTTCCTCAGCTATCATAAAACTAGATTCTTTTGAAACGTTTCTTTTTTTGTATATCCCACGAGCAAAAGTATTTTATGAATTTAGTTCTAAAAAAGAATATAAACGATCAAATAATTTTAAAATGCACAGTAAAGTTACTTCCTGTAGAGGGGAAATAAAAGTAGACTTTATACTGTGATAAATGAATAATTAACATCAGTATATGTTTTGTGTATTGGGATTTATTTTGTATGTTTTTAGAACAAGATATTAGAAGTTTTATTAAATTAAAATAATCAGTATTAATGTTAAGAAATGACATGTTTTCTAAGTGTCTACGATTTTAAACTAAATTCGTTATTAATTAAGATATTTAAATTTGTTTACACTAACGAATAAATATTTGTAGCAAAAGTG